GAAGGTCCATTGGAACGCTAAACGAGGACATGAGTTCACCTAGGAATGCGAAGATCAGATGAAACAAAAATACCCAAACCTCTTCCCAAACGCGTGAAGTCCCAGTCAAAACGCTAATTTCGGGACGAAATTCTATCTAACAGGGGGATGATGTGACAACCGTAAATTTCTGGTAAAGTCAAAGTCAAATAAAGTCAACAAGTCAAACCGGTCAACTCAATTAACCTTCACATGTTAGGGTTTACATTATGCTTACTTAGTACAACTCACTATCTTAATAAATTCACTTAGAAGTGTTTCAATGTTCAGAAAATCTAAAATTCTAAAAGGAGTAAGTGATGCGACAACTCGATAAGACACATTTAAGTACCCTTCGGGGGCATATAACACTCATAACAAGGCTTAACGAAGCCTACAGTCCTTGCACTATGAAGAAAAACACTAATAAAGGCCCCCCAACAAAATCTATCTATATCTCTCCCACTCTATCTCTCTCTCTCTCTCCCAAATATCTCTCTCTATCCCAAATCTCTCCAATAATCTCTCTCTAAATCCAAAATCTCTCCAAATCTTTCTCATATCTCTCTCAAACTTTTATAAACATCTGTACCAACCCAATCCTTTCCTTTGTTAAAAACAGCCCAAAATCGAAGGAGAAAAACCAAAAGGACCCTCTTGGTCCGAAACCCTCTTGATCCGGAACCGAACAATTTCGCACCTCCCTCAGCTTCGGAACCCACTCACTCTGGAAAGTGGCTCCAGAATGCCTTGCTTCGGACTCTCGCATAGACAGGAGGAGTTCGCCCGGACAGCCTCGCATCTCGGAAGCCTTGATCCATCCGGTAGCTGCGGACCCGCTCCCAGAATCGTAGAAATGACTTCGGAATTTCCACCTTTGGCTCCGGAATTGTGACTTTGACTTCGGAACCCTCACAAATCCGAGCCTCACTCCGTATTTTCAACCATTTCGGACTTTTTAGTGATTTTGAGTGATTTTGACTCCGGAAATTTCCCCAGACTTGTATTTTCATGACTTAAACTCTCCAAAACTCATATTTTGGCTTTTAAGACCCTATATATTCATATTTTAAATCACATTTTGGGGGAAATCTTAACTTAAGAACAATATCTATTGGGTGAGATATTGTGTTAGAGTGTTGACTTTCCATAAAGTGTGACACAAGCTAACCCCCATACCCACATAAGACAACCCTCATTCACTATTCATCCATATCTAGTCAATTATTTTTTTCTCTCACACCTCTCCTCCAACTGGTAACCTGATCAAAAGCTAGAAACCCCCATCTCCCTTCCACTTTACTCACTCTCTCACCAAAAGGCAAACACTTCTCTCTCACTTTCCCTCTCTAAGAACTTGAGACTCCAAGGCTGACCTTGAGCTTCTCACCCACATTCAGTAAGTAATCTCATCCTACATTGAACATTCTTCACTCCTGCACTCAAATTATGAATCTCTCATAACAAATGTCGCCATATTTGTTCTTAGATTCTTCAACTCTCCAAGCTTGTACCAAGTGTTCTTGACTTTGAAACCTCCTTTCTTCATCTTCCATCTCAGAAAACTACTTAAGGTGACTTCATACCCCTACATTTTCATGTTTTCTTCTAGTTTTAAGGGGGGGAATACAAGTTAATACACCAAAAACTTAACTAAACTCAAACAACATCTTTCATCAGAAATGTTGAGTCCCATTCACAGACTGTTTTGACGATCTTAAACTTAATATCTTTCAACACTGTTTTATATGCAAGTAGTTCCGGTTTATATCTTTCTAATGACTACTTGCACATCTCCATATGATGTTTCTACAATTTATGGTGATTTTTATACAACTGTCTATCAATTCAGAAACAAATTCGGACCAGTCTGTGAATATGTGCATTTTCACACAAGTTAGAAACTTCTAAAAATCATAATAAAAATTATGAATAAACTAGACACATTTACTAAACTCTCAGAGTTTACGGATTTAGTTTTCGGCTTTGTATGATTTTTAGATGATTTTTCTAAAAGAGTACAGAAAGGTTAAAAAACTAGTTAACAACTTACAATTTCCATAACACTTTGTAACATGTTGAGCAAAGTGTTTACCCTTGATGACTTTATATTTTACATGTGTTTTCTGTTGAGTTACACTTAAATAAGAGAAATTACTCACTGAATTGTAAGAGTCCTTTATCATTACAAGCATACAAGATGAAATATAAGGAGTATAGTTTATGGATTGTACTTTTCAAACATACTACATAAAAAGGGGATTTATTTCCACCACAAAAATAAAAAAAAGGTTTTACACTCAAACCACACGTAAACTCGTTAACGTAAGTTGTGAGACAATTCTTCAATTGTACTCTTCGAGTACGGGTTAAAAATTCATGTAAGTTATAACTAGAATCTCTTGTAGGGAGAGCGTGATAATTGTATATAGATCTATATTGGGATTGACACCCCACACCTTGCTGCTAGCTACAGTGGGACCTACAGGTCTACGGGTGACACAAGTCATATGATCTTGACGTCTGAAAAACGTTGTAGCAGGTTCATTCTAGTTATAGTATGGTTATAACGACTCACATAGGAAGTTAACAACATTTCAAGTTTACAGGAAAAATGCTACTTTAAAAAGGGGTTTTATCTATCTAAAACTGCATACTCTCAGTCTTGGGATTTAAGATTACACGACTTTGTATTAGGAAAATATTGGATTTTTCTTGGGTACACATTAGAATTACAAACACGTTATAAGTACAAAATACGCACATACTCTCGGTCTTGGGATTTAAGGCTACATAACATTTTATAAGGAAAATATTGGATTTTTCTTGAGTATTCATTACATTTACAAACAAAGGTTTTCCAACATTTCATCCAAAAGCTTATGAACTCACCAACTTAATTGTTGACACTCTTTCAAAACTACTTGTATTCTCAGGAAACCAGTGAAACAGGTAATCAACTGCTTTTGAGGATGGGACGCAAGACGTCAATTAATACATTTTTGTCATCATAATGTAATTGTTTTTGAAACATGTAAACTCATACTATGGTGTAACTTTATGCATTATATTTATGATGGTTGTATTTACTACGAGCACTACTATACTCGTTGTTGTGATACTATACATGAAGTCATTCCCACCCCAGACGTTTCCGCCATCCTTGGTTTGGGGTGTGACACAACCACCCGACCTCCGCTGTGATGGCAGTCCCGCACCCGAAGGCTCCTCCCCTTCGAAAGTCGACTGTCAAAACGGTCTTGTTCCTTTTCACGAGCCCTAAACTCTGATACCAATTGTTGGTTCAGACCCCACAAAACATACACACATTCAAGACTCATGATGTGCACTAAAGGTGCTTTTATTGCGTTGCCTTAATTAAATCAAAGATATGACCTCACAAAACATACACACATTCAAGACTCACGATGTGCACTGAAGGTGCTTTTCTTGGGTTGCCTTAATTAAATCAAAGATATGCTATAGGCTTACAACACAGAATAAAAACAAAGACTCCAGGACTACTCACTTGCTGAAGATAAGGAAAGCAACAAACAAACCACGTGCTACCTTACTACCTACCTATTATTTCCCAAAAACGGTCAACAATGACAGTTAAGTTACCACGTGGCCCTTGACTAAACAAACCGATTAAACCTAACAATCACCCTCTTAATCGGTTTCGCCTTTTTCATCTCGATTCTTGACCTTTCCCGGACACCCAACTTCCAGTTCGGTCACGTCCAAAGTCTTCCACACCCGACTGTTGTTTGTCACCACACATAATCCGTTTTCACCTAACACTTCTGTGAAAAGAAGAGCCTTCTTGTTGGTTCAGACCCCACAAAACATACACACATTAAAGTCTCACGATGTGCACTGAAGGTGCTTTTCTTGGGTTGCCTTAATAAATCAAAGATATGCCTTATAGGCTTACAAAAACAGAATAAAACAAAAGACTCCATGACCACTCACTATGCTGAAGATAAAGAAAAGCAACAAACAAACCCAACTGCTACCTTACTGCCTAATTATTTCCCAAAAACCCGGTCAACATATAACCAAGTTAAGTTACCTACGTGACCCTTGACTAAACAAACCGATTAAACTTAACAATTTTTTGAGGAACATTAATAAAATTTAGAAATCACGACTTATAGTGACCCTAATTGGGCTACTTGTAGGGACACTAGAAGATCATTGACTAGACATTGTATATTCATTGGATCATCGTTAATATCGTGGAATACAAAGAAGCAAAAGACTGTATCAAGTTTATCATGTGAAGCAGAATACATGAGTCTTGCTGCTACTGTGTGTGAAATATTATGGATCAGTTACATAATAAGAGATTTGAAGGTTAAAATGAAGTTTCCTATTGCATTATCGTTTGACAACAAAGCTGCAATACACATTATTGAAAATCCAATATTTCACGAAAGAACAAAGCATCTGGGTATTGACTGTCATCTGGTAAGAGACCAATATAAACTTGGTTTTGTTCTTCCGAAGCATATATCAACAAAGCGACAAGTTGCAGAGTTGTTTACAAATGCATTATATGGTCCACAGTTTTCAGATTCTTTTATCCAAGTTGAACCTCCAAGATATTCACCAAGGTCCGACTTGGAGAGAACTACGGTACTGAAATTCTAGTAAAGCATTTGGGTTTCTTTTTGTTCATGAATACATGCACCGATTATTGAGTGATTATTTCTAGGTTTATTACATTGTTTGATTCCTTGAAAGTAGCGAATTCATAGCATGTTGACAACAATTCACAATTCAGATCATACAGTGTGGTTTCTTCTTAAAGTTAATGACATGAGTCACATTAATGAATAAAAAGATTAGGCTAAGTGGGATTAGGTTTACCAAACTCTTTCCTTGTGGGTTAAAGGTAAATTTATGACACGTATTCTGAAGACATTAAAAAAAGAAAGAATTTAGAAAGTAAAACATGAACAAATATTTTTATGCGCAACCAATCATAATTAAATAAGAGAGCCTTTTACAACTATCATTTCTAATTACATGGTCTGAACTCAATACCTTGCACAATAAGCCCTTTAAGCGACTGGTTAGGGGCAAAGTTGACTGACAGTTTTCCAAAACTCTGGGGAGTTTGTGTAAGTTGTTCATCTATTTGTACCTCCATCCAACCATCTTTCCTTTGTTGTGGAAGGCCTTTTATTTTGGATCTATTCAATGGGTTGTGGGTATTTTCATAAACCTTTCGTTTGATAACTGGGGTTTGAGGACTAATCAAATAGATATATCGTGAGATTGATAATGTCTCTGAGAAATGACTTGTCATCCACACTTTCATAGGAGGCTCAAATCTAGAATGGTTTTCTTGTAATTTGTAAACAAGGTAAGCTCCATAACATGTTTGAGCTGATAGCATATTGGAGGTATTGCAGCGTATAGCAAAGCTCCAAGTAGGATCAAAAGCTACTTCTTCAAATCTGCAAAAAGACACGGTGTTTAATATAAATGCTAAAAGCACAGGACAACATAATCGGTGTTTAATATAAATGCTAAAAGCACAGGACAACATAATCATAATTAAGTGGTGATTTTTTATTTTCTTGATAATGGAGAAACACAATGGGTACTAGAAGATCTAGATTCTAGAGCCACTAGAATATCCTACGTGCATACCAACCTATAAGTTTTAAATTAGTCGAATCCTAACTCAATTCAAGACCCTTGTTAACAATATCAGCTATATATATTTTTATCCGTTTATTACCCATATATGCAAAACATAGAAAGAACCTTGATTCCGGTAAAGATTGCCAACTCCACTTCTTTCTTTTCAAAGCCACTGCTGCTGGTAGCATAAGACATTTTTTCCCATCTTTGTCAAGAGAAAACCACTGTCAAAATTAATAATATATGTGTAAGTACTTGTTTGGGAATTCTGGAGTTTTCAACTTTGAACCCCTAGAACCATGATCAGTGGCTCTACAAGGATAACAACAGCTATATATTAAGAGAAAATATTATGTTCAAGCTAGCTAGAAATCTACCTCTTCCTCTTCGCCTTCCATATGGATATGGAACCCTTCGAGAGTCCCATGTCAGAAATTTTGGCATTCCAATTCTCATCGAGTAAATTGTTGGAGCTTTTTATATCACCATGGAGAACTCTTTGTTGCGGCCCCAAGACATATCATGAGACGTTGTCTCCATGTGAGAGCTGTGCTACTTAAATAGCGATCAAGACTTCCATGAGACGCATGCTCGTACACTAGGATCTTCTCATCACCCTCGTTGCAAAATCCTAGAAGAGTGATGAGATGTTCATGTGTGTAACGAGAAAGCATCAGGATCTCTTTCAAGAACTCAGGATCTCCTTGCCCATACCTACGATCTAGACGCTTAAAAGCAACCATGCTTTGCCCCTTGAAATTAGAGAGTATTCCTTCATACACTTTCCCAAATCCACCGTCCCCAATAAGTTGGCTTTTATCAAAGGTGTTGGTGGCTAAATTTATCTCTTCAAGTCGGATTGCAAGATGTTGAAACTCCTTGAGGAAGGCCTCCATTATTTGTTAGATCAAATGGATTTTAATATGTTCAAAGTTCAAACTTTTACAATGTGGTGTTGTTAAATAGCCTGGGAAAATGAGAGCTGTAGGCCAGCCATTTGACAGACGGACATTTGACACAGTCTTCCTGCCGACTGCTTTTTCTTTCGAAAGAAGTTGAAAATTGCACTTAGAATATGGTTTCTTAATTCTTTTTGTTTTTACTTGGTTGGACAAATAACTGATACAATCCATGTTGCGCAATATGTTAATTCAGGAGTTGACTTTTTTATTTATTTAATTGTGACCGAGACTCATCGAGTTGTTACATCACAGAAAGAAGTTATAATTTAATGATTTTAAAGATTATTTATATGCAAAGAAAGAAGTTTATTTTTTATTTTTTTTATTTTTTTTTATTATTTTTTATTATTTTTTTCCTAAATATCACTTATGCCTCCTAGTGAAACTTAATCACATGACCTCTCACTCTTTACCGCTAAACCAACACAAAGAAGTTATAATTTAGTGACGTTAAAGAATAATTTGAGACACTAAAAAGAATGAATTTAGCGATGTCGGCGTTGTGAAATTGTGTTGTATTTCTAAAAAAATATTTACCATCTCATACTATTTTAAGATTTAATTACTAAAAGATGGTCAACTATTTTTAGATAGTTTGAATTATTTTAAATTGGAGTACACATGGCAAATAAGTTGTCTTCATCGATCCATGGGCCATGTCACATGCACCCTATCCATGGCCATGAGCACCCTCTTTAGACTACTAAATGTGGGTAACATGTTATTACATGTTATCACATCTAAGATGTCCACGTCATCATCCTAGTTACAATTTGGTGTTATAATACTTAAGGTGGAAATAGGCAACACCAAATAACATGGGATAACACCTACTTTTTTTTTCTTTTTTTTTTGATGTTTTTAATTTCTATTATTTTAATTTGTTTTATTTACTTCATATATTTCTAATTTGTTTTTTTTATGTCATATATCTATAAAAAAAACATATAAATTAATAGAACATAATTTCATTAAATAGTAAATTAAAAATAAGGGTATACAAACATAAAAAAAAACACTACAAAGAAAAAAAAAAAAAAAAAAAAAAAAAAAAAAAAAAAAAAAAAAGACACGATAATCCAAAAAACCACACGATAATTTAACAAAAAACACCAATAAACTATTCATCGTCCGTATTTGCTCTCGATCTTTGCATTCATCATACATATCACTTCAGCTCGTCTCGGTGGCATATTTTCTTCGCTTGTTGTAAGAATTGCCAAATCCTTCGATATGCGATCTTGCTCGGCTTCTTGACGAAGGAACTCCAAATGTTGTCGTTGCAATTCATATCTTTTATTTGCGATTTCCGTGTGGTCGCCAAATTTTTGTTTCATTTTCTCGTGCTCTCGAAGCCGACTTTCATTCTCCTCCGCAGGTTGTTCAGCGCGCTTCGCTTCGTCGCGCCCTATCAGTCGTCGTGGTGGAGAGATTTCCTCGATGTCGTCAATGTTTTCTGGGAGCTCATCGGTGTCCGCGTTGAGGTCGATGTGCGTACGTCCGTCGGAAACGTCAACCGAACCCGAACCATGAGACCTCTTTGATTGTTGTTCCGATGATGTTGGCGTTTTTATCCATTTTGGAGCTTTCCTCACGATCTCCATAATTTTTTCGTGCTCAAATACGTGACCCATTTACACATGATATTCCTCCCTCGCAGATCTAAACACATCGAACTCATTCACACCACTTTGCCATTGCGAAGAAAGTTTGTTGTAGATGGAATTGAATTTTGTGCACTTCCGGCAAATTTGAGTCCATTTGCCACTAAGCATATCATGATTGCGATATGTGTCATTCTTGGTCAAAATTGTGCGGAATTTGACAATCATGGCTTCCCAAAAAGAAACTCTCCTCATATCGTTCCCCAAAATTGGTTGTTTTGAAGTCCCGCACCAAGCCACCGCCAACACATGCTCTTCCTCCGGTGTCCACCATGTTGGAGGTGCTACCGTTTGCTCCGCCCTGACCACAAGCTCTTTCCCTTTCTTTTTTTATCTCCCTTTTTTCCCAATGCTTTCCGACTACCCCCGACTTGCGTCTCGATAACCGTTTCTTGCGTGGGTGGGGGCTGTGTAATTGTTCTTCGCATGCGACTAAATATGTTAAAAAAGTTTTGTTGAATTTTTGCATTTTGTTGCATAAAAGGTGAGGTAAAGAATTGTAGTAGGGGTGAGGCGGGATTGAAAAAATTGTCGGAATATGGAAGCTCCGATGAGTTTTGCGAGTTGAGAAGGTTCTTGTAGCCCTCGTATCCCGCAAAACCTATTGGAGTGGATGTGTTTGTGCTTCGAAGAGGAGTATTCGGGTTTTGATCCATAGTTGGTTTTTGTGTTTGGTTGATTTTTGTGTTTGTGTTTTGAATAATAATAGAAATAGAGATAGATATAGAGAAATAGAAGTGTAGGTAAAAAGAATGAGATATATATATATATAGATATAGATATATATATATATAGATATATATATATATATATATATATATATATACTAGTTTATAACCCGTGGAAACCACAGTTACAAAATAAAATGAATTTTGATAGTTGAAAATCGTAATTATTAATCAATTATTTTTAAAAAATTATTAAATAACAGAGTTATGTGATTGACGATGATAAAAAAATTATTATGTAACAAAGTTACATGATTGTCGTGGATAACCAAAACAACAGTTGTCAAAACTATGACAAGAATGCCATTGAGAACTTCATTAGGGAAAAGTAAGAAGAAAAGAGATGGGTTGTTAAAGATAGAATACCCAATTCGCCCTTAGAGGTTTCAAGAAAACAAAGCCCTACACAATTTCAAAAACCTTCTGAAAGTTGTACCCCATCAAATAAAAAGAAATCTCAGACATGTTTCACAAAGACCAACATGCCCGCTACAAAAATTAGTCTCCCTGTGCCTCCGAAAGCATCTGAACCCGTATGTTAAATTTCTTAGGACTTCTTTAAATGGATTTTTGTGTGATAATGGTAATCTGTTTTTAACTTTTTATGATCCCAACTTATAAACAGATAGTTGAAAACGTTTGTTTGATTTGGGAAACATATTTAAGTAAAGAAAGATCAGTCAGATGAAACGTTATACATAAGAGCTGGATAACTTTGGGCATGCTTGTTCTTGAACAAAATCTTAAGGCATCGTGCTTTTAATAAATAAATTACATAATTAGGTAAATTTTCATGACGGTTGTTGTTAACCTTTATGATTGACACTAATTCAACCACCTGAGCATCTATTTGTGAGCATAAAAAGTTCTGCTTATGAAGAGGACGAAGAGGACCAGAGCAAATAAAACCTCAATTGAAAGATTCGTGCGATTTACACAAAAGGATATTATGGTTCATTTACTTATTTTCTTTAGCGTTATAATTTTAATATGTAAAAAGGAATATTAAATAATAAAAGCTATTTAAAAAATAGATATGGGAAAATGTGATATTTTAAAACATTAAGAATGACAAATATGATATTTAAAGTTTAGGTTGGGAAAATATGATAATTTAGCCGTTTAATAAAGGTTTGGCGATAAAAAACAAAATTACTATATGATAATATGAAGATGTTACAATACGAAGTAAGATGTCACTCACACACATTACTGCAATAGGAAGAGTAAAAGAAGGATACTATAAATTTTTAATTAAAAAATGATTATATGCAATAAGTTAGTGTCTAGTTTGCAAAATGTGACCCACGCAACAACAATACACAATGATGAAATAGGAAAAGTAAATGAAGGATATTATACAAATAGTTAGTGTTCGGTTTGTTTGATTCATGATTCATGATTCTATGGAACGAATTCTAGTTTGTTTGTTTTGCAAAACGAAAATTAAAATATTAATTTTTTTATAACATCACCATCTCAAGGGTTTTGTCAAAATGTAATTTTGATCCACAAAGAGTTAGATGAGAACAGATTGCTGGTATAATAAAAGTAGTAGAAAATCTTGAGACCAATGAAAACACATCAGATGAGCCAACATTTTTTATGGTCATTCTGAAATTATAAAAAAAAAGTTAGTATCAAATCAACAAAATAAGATGTGTTGACGGGATCACAAGAACAAATAATTTGATGTAAACCAATCGGATGATGTAATATTCAGACTCGATAAACTCTTTCTTTTCCTTTTCCATTTAGTGGGTGTTCAAAGTGAAAATAACATTTAGTGAAATAATGAACATAAATATATATTGTGTGAGTTTTTAACACTTTATTTAAGCATATTACAAACACACATGTAGAACACATTCTGCAGGTCTGAACCAGATTATCCTACACTCCAAGCTTATTGTACTCAATGGCTTCCTCATGTAGAAGCTTGAATAATCTCACAACTGATTTGATAGTTAAAGCATAATGAAGGGATACCTAACGCCAATATATTACACAACCATCAAGTGGCTCACCACTTTTCATCTTATAGACATGATAGACAGGAAAAGAGAAAAATTAAAAAAATACAAAGAAAATTAAATTCCAAGCGATTCCTTAATCTATTGAATAGACTGACAAATCGAAATAAAAAAATATAAGGAAATAAAAGATTTCATGATACTTAGAAAGTTGACATTAAGAAAATAAGTTATGTCTTAATATCTATAAGAACCGGAATTAAACCTTACCTTGATGTCCTCTTTCCAAAACACCTCTATTGCACAAATTGCCGAAACCTATCAAAATCGTACCCTATGTTTGATTTCAAACTCGAAAACAGAAGACAAACACTTAAAGCTTAAATAGGCAACATACAAGAAATAGAAAATGAATACCATTGATAAAGATGTGGATTGTTACCATTACAAACCGAATTGAAAAGGGAGGCAATGTCGGCCCAAACAGTGTGCTCGTCGGACTATAAAGAGGAAGATAAGAGAAAAACAAACAGAGGCACACCGATTAAAAAAATAGCAACACAATTACAAAACGCTTACTTTCCCTGTAACATATAA